TGCTATAAGTTTGTGCATGGACAAGTTCTCCTTTTCTATTCAACCAAACTTCAAATCTCTGTAAGATGAAACTGAAAGATAAAAGACACACACATATGCATAAAGACAAAATTTTCAAACCTGTAGAAGATGCAGAAGTTTAAGCTTTTAATATTGACTTTGTGGACTGAGTACTAAATTAGGTCATGAATCAGGGCTGGCATACTAAATTTTGTCACTCTTTTACTCAACAGTCTAAGTCATGCCACATTTCTTTCACCACTCCATCAAGTAAAAGCACCGCGACTAGTTTAATGATCTGTCCAGAAAACAAACAGATAAGTTCAATATCATAGTCATATTTTAAAAGAAAGAAAAGAATTTGCATTTCGAGTCGCTGTCCAGGTTCTATTACCATTAGGCTTAACACGTAGTTACATGGGAGGTATTTGTCTGCAGGTTGTTTTCGTTTACCTTTGCCCAATATTTTTTGTGACTGACGGTGAAATATATCTTCAATTCCCCAGTACATCTTTCCTCAGCCGGGGTACTTACTTTTTTCATAGTCTTTCAAAGCAATATTTTGTCGCTTTATGAACAGAAAATGTAGGAACGTACAAAGGCATTTTATCCTCTGAGACCCTCTTCTCCTTGATGTGCATGTTTTTGAAGTTCCAACATCGCTCTTAATTGTTGATGGAGATCTGCTGCAATTTGTACTCATACTGTGCATATATAGTAGAAGAAAAAAACAAAAAAGACTGTGAAAAATGTATGATAGAATGAACATTAATCTTTCAGATTGACAAGAATGAAAAACGTACATTATATCACCGGAGAAAAGAATGTAGTATGCATTATAAAAATCTATCTCCGAGCAGGGGTAAGTGAAAAACAATAGTAGTAATTCTCTGGACAGATGGAGATATTACATTTGCATTAGTTGGATTTGTTGTTCATAGTCACTATGAGTTATAAAAACTACAGTACATAAAAACCAAAATGGAAAATGAAAAATAACGACTACCTGTGTGGTGTGACTAGAATAAATTGTAGGCTATGATCTTATATTAATCTTGTCTGATAATTAGTCAACAATGTTGTAGTTATGAGTCACTACTGTCATAATAACAAAATGTCCAAAAGAGAACCTGCGACGAATTTTTTTTTTTTTTATATAGTGTAATTAAGAGCAAAAATTTTCTTGCTTGGTGGTGAAGGAGATGTAGAGTGAACTGTCCGGCATAATACAAATTTTTTTACTTTATTTTTCAAAAATTTCATCAAGAACTGTCAGCTCTATAGAAGTTTAGAATTAATAGACTTTGTCATCTAAATTATTTTGTGTTTTCAAATCTTATTTGCTGTCTAAGCTCACTATCACAAAATCAAAGTACGGTTATTTCTGGACTGGCTTACAAGTTGCGCTTGAGGAAGATGATCTGACTTCTTTGGCTAGGACTTGTTTGAACAGTTAAATGTCGAAAAGAAGCTCGTAAATTTCTGTGAGAATTAACAACAACGATTAATTGTTGTTGAGCAACTTTTTTTTTTCTTTTGGGTCTCTGTAAATCGGGCATCCTCATTTTCCTTTAGGGGCACAAGGAACTTTGGGTTATTTGGCACTAGTTACAAAACTTGAACGGGATCTTGACTCAAGGCAGTGGAGTCAGATGCCGGGTTGGATTAGCAAATGGCACAGAAAGCTGAAAGGGAACATGCTTTTTTTTTTTTTTTTTTTTTTTCACTTACAATGGGGAATATTTTCGAATAGGAATTGAGGCAATTTTTGGGTGAAGGCGAAATGATCTCATGGATGCAGCTCAACGTTGGTTAAAATTCCATTGTAATTTCCGCTTAGCCCTTCTTTTGATGAAAAAGAAAAAGGAAAAAAAAAAGAATTCTATTACTAATGATTACAAACAAGTGCTATAGTAATTTTGTTGCACTATTCCTCAATATTATTGTTTAGTCTCGCCACGTATCTTTCACTACTTCACCAAGTAAGAGTGTCATCAATAATTTATGATCAATTTAGGAAGAAAGGAAAAGATAAGCTCAATATATATCATTGCCACGGTTTATAATGGAAAAAAAAAAAGAAATTTTATTTGCGTCACTTTCTAGGTACCAGCTATCACGTATAAAAATGAAACGCGTAATTCGTATTGATCTACGACTCTTATGTATTTTTCTCAGGAAAAAAAAAAAAACAAAACAAGGGTTCAAAAACTGTCTCACCAATTTAGCCAAAAAAAGAGAAAAACAAAATGGATGTTATAAAGTGCAAGAAACCGTGTTGAGAGCATTAAACTCATCTCTAATTAGTCGGCGGCAAGGAAATAAGTCCAAAGGCAGATTGACATTTCATTTCCTTCTTCTTTCATTTGTTGGATCTCCTTCTCATGGTAGAAGGTCTTTAAGCTTTTTCTTTTTTTTTTCCTTCATTGATTAATGGTTGAGATCGCTACTATCAAGGTCTATTAAATAGCAGAAATGAATATGAGTTTCGAAGTATAATTCAAAATATACAGTCAATAGTAAAAATGAGTTTGGATTTCAAAATATAATTCGAGATGCACATACAAGAGGAGCATATATGCATTTAAATCTCCTCTTCAACTGCACCTATAAGTAGTATAATCAGTAAATAAATTCATGGTTGAAATGTAATTTACTCAACATGATTGCTTAACTTATGCTTCTGAGGACATTGATATTGATGAAAACTGACCATTCCATAAAATGCCTGAAAATGATATCCTCCAGGCTCCAGCTATACATGGTTGTTGCAGGAGATGGAAGTTGGAATATAAATACTCTTCCACATATTGAAAATTTTCACTTTTTACATGATAGTTAAACCAAATTTCAAGCCATTTTAGTAGGAAAATTGTCACTGCGCATCTAACTCTGATTCCTTTTAGGATTTGTTTGTGGGAGGAATTGACTCTGCTTCAACCACTGTGTAGTGGCAATGACAGAGCTATAAGATCACGTAAACTAGAGCCGAGCTCAAGGAAGTCATTGGACAGAAGGAAATTGTCCAAGAATCAGACATTTCTAGGCTCCCTTGCTTGCGAGCTGTGATAAAAGAAACCTTTCGACTTCACCCTCCAGCCCCATTAATTCCTCACGCAGCAATTGACGATGTAGAAATCAATGGTTACGTGGTGCCCAAAGACACAAAAAGTACTCGTCAATATGTGGGCTTGGAACAGAGATCCTGCAAATGGGGTCAGATACTTTTGAGCCTGATCGGTTTTTAGACATTGAGATTGACGTAAGAGGCCAGCATTTCGAACTCATTCCCTTCAGTGCAGGGAGGAGAATTTGTCCAGGATTGCCTCTGGCTTATGGGATGGTGCATTTGATGCTAGCTTCTTTCATTCACAACATTGACTGGAAACTTGGATAAGGAATGAATCCAGAAGATTCAGACATGGAAGAAAATTTTGGGCTGACAGTTCAAAAGGCTTGGCCTCTAGAGGCTATTCCAGTTAAGCTTCAACTCCAATCTAATGATTTTTAGGCCATGTATTTGAAATGAACAGAGGTGTGTTTAATTTTTAATAATTGGTTAGGTATGATGTAGAACCACTCACAAAAGTCCCTTAAATTATTTATATACGGTTGTTTTTGATCTGCCTATATTGCTCATAAGTAGAACTTAAAGTGCCTCTTAAATAAAGAACGAATATCAGAAGAGGTATCAAAGTATTATCCCATCACTAAAGTCCACAGAAGATAGTTTAGCTAATCATGCTGAATCAGTCAATTTAATTGGATCTCTTTGGGATCGTCTCTAACTTCGTCAAGCAAATCGTGTTGAACGATTCCGATGTATCTCACTAATCATATTGGTTTTATTCTATTAGAAAAAATCCACACGCGATAGTAATATTAATTACTGAATGAGACTAAACATTGCTCGTATCGATTACTATATGGTCAACCAACCAAATTATTGATGTGCTGTGAATCTAGTCAGTTTTCAAATGCCTTGAGCATCAGAAGAATTTGAAGAGCAAAACGACTTGATCACCATTCACTAAGAGCAACCTTTCTGGCTGAACAGTTTTTCCCACTCCTTACTGCGTGTTTGCATGCGTCACAGGCGATACGGAGATATAATATTTCAATCTTACCATGTTAGCAGGGAGATTGTCCAGCACGATATTGACTAAAATATGTCAAACTTGCCCATTTTCTTAAGTTTATTTTCTCCTAACTTGTGATCATACGAGCAAGTGTGTTATTCTCATAAGAGCAAGTGTGTTGACAGGGATAGAGAGCTTCAGAGGATGGATATTGAGCATTTCTTCCATAAGAGTTCTGTTTGCAGAAGTGCTTTTGCTGCCAGAGTTTATCACCTCTGGTGCAGTAGAAACATGCAGATCTTTATGAAAATTGGTATCCTCCTTATCAGCATATTGATCATTTGATCATAAAAGGATTTTCGGGGTATTGCAGCAGGTGAAAGCTGATTGACGGGAAACAGGAACAAGAGAAATTGTACCTGGTTCTGAGCTAAGAATTCAGCTTTCACCTGTACAGATCATCTATTCGTTGTAGTCTTGCTGTAATTGGTTAAGGGGTATGCCCCTTCATTTGTGTAAATTCTTGCATAATCAATAAGAAGCCAAGAGCTTACTACCAAAAAATAGAAGAGTAAGGATCATAATAGGCGCATCCCAAAAGGAAGAAGACCCAAAACTAAATTTAATAAACTTTATAGTTAATTTGTCTTATAATACATTATCAACATACATACCAAATGAATGATTTTATATACCAAAGTAGCAAACAAATTAGTTACCTCTATTCTTCAACCGCGCAAGCTCCATTATTCTCTAGTCTACTTCTTGTACAACATGACAACGATATTTGCCTAAATTAAATTATAGTAATATTGCCATAGTGATGTAAGTTGTAACAACCCTCTATTTTACAGCGGTAATGAAGTAATTCAAGAATCAATTTTACCTCAACAAGAAGAATGTTTCAGGAACTGGAGGCACTTACACTGGAAATTCATCAATTTCATCTGTCCAAGGATTCTTCTCTTTAGCTGGATCAATGAACCTCAATGCACGATATACAATACTGTTGCATTTGAAGCCTGAGCCAAACGCTATCTGCAATATCCTATCTCCCTTCCTTATCCTTCCCTTGGCCTCGGAATAAGCCAATTCATACCACAATGAACTGCTAGATGTGTTGCCAAACCTGTGGAGTGTCATTCTTGATGGCTCCAAATGCCATTGAGTCAGTTCAAGGTTCTTCTCCATTGCATTCAGCACTGCTTTTCCGCCAGCATGAATGCAGAAATGCTCAAAAGCAAGCTTGAAATTCGGAATATATGGCTTGATTTCCAAATCAAATACCTTCTTCGCCAGCAAAGAAACAAGAAACAGGAATTGTTCTGACGCGGGAAGAACTAATGGCCCAAGTGTTGTTATATTGGTTTTCAAAGCCTCTCCAGCTACAGCCACTATATCTCTAGACAAGGCAACACCGACCTTTTTCTCCTCATCCTCCTGTTGGAAAATGCAACCGTAACTTTTGTCATCAGCTCCCTTGTGTGTTCGAACTGAGTGAATGAGCTGATATTTTGAACGACCATGATCAGACGTTTTGTTTGATAGTAGAATCGCAGCTCCTCCCATTCGGAAGAGACAGTTCGTCATGAGCATTGACTCATTGTTCCCGGAGTACAGATTCGGAGTCATGGGTTCCATACTCACCACCAGGGCGTACGTGTTTCCCTGGACCTGTTACATTAATATATTTGAATGTTGCCTTCCAAGAATGTTATCCAAATAGTTAAATAGAACGAACAAAGTTAGGTTCAGAAGTTGAGATGAGTTATGCGACCTGTAAAAGTTGCTTGGCAAGATCTATCGAAATCAGTCCAGCACTGCAACCCATACCGCCAAGGGTGTAGCTCAAAATATTCCCCCTAAGCTTGTAATGGTTTACAACAGTAGCAGAAAGGGACGGTGTTGGACAAAAAAGACTGCAATTCACCACTAGAATCCCTATATCTTTGGCTTTAACACCAGTCTTTGCCAGTAGTTGATCAATGGCGCCAAAAATAACCATCTCAGCCTCCTTCCTAGCCTCAGCCAGGCAGGCATTTGGCTCAGCTGCGTATGTTTTCTGGCCAAGTCCTGATCTCTCCAAAATTTTCTCCATAAATGCTAAATTTTGTTCATTGAACTTCCCAGATCGTCTACATTTCTCCATGTAATGTTCTCTGGAGCACATAAACTCGGGTCCAGGTTTGTAGCATGCAAAATTCACGAGATAAACTTTCCTGGGCCTAGTCACACAGTACAATGTACCCAGGAAAACAAAAAATGCAGAACAAAAAACTGTTGCCACAAAATTGAACCTGGAAGGACCCCATAATAGGTCGAAATCTTTGATGGTGACAGTCGAAAGATGAAACGAAACAACCCCCAAGAGGGGAACTATGATCAGGTACCTAAGGTTGGAAATAAGATAACAGTAACCAAGTTTGACATGCTTGAGCCTAACAGATAGGATAAAGTTGGGAAGACTAGGCTTCCTCTCTAGAGTTCTAGCTGTAAACGGCGTTTCTTCTCTCATATAGTCAGCCCTCCTCTGATCCCCCATTGCAACCCCAAACTCAGATTAAAGTTGCTCGAGGAAAGAAATTACCGGTGGATGTATCAACTGATAGTCTGAGAGTGAGCAAGGCAATGTCTTGGAAGTGGAGGGTAAGTCAGAATTTAAGAGGAGAGCCTGGTGTGAATTATGGTAGCTGCCCGCAGGGGATTTAATAGCACCAAAATTCTAGTTAAGTGATGGTTTTTATGAGTGATGTTTACATAACATGAATGTTAAGAGGTGCTTAACTTTGTTGGCAAGTAAAAACTTCTACGCACAACAAAGGCTGGAGGTGATTAGCTTCGAATGAATTACTTGCGTACCTAAATTGTGGGATGTGCCAAAGGAATGACAAATGACGTTCCTGTTCAAAATGCTTTCACGACACCCTGCTACATTAGCTCAATGAAATGAACATTTCCACGACTTTCATAGGGGAAAACTTGGCGTTTTGGGAAGCATTGGCATAAAGTTCCGATCATGCATGATACTTCTTTGAGATCGATTTCTTTAGTTTGCCATGTCACAAGGAGATTATGCATTTTATGCTCCAGTATGAGGTCGGCAAATGCAAATTTTAAATCAGTTTATGGCCACGATCCCAGAATATTATACTCTGCCTGTAGGTGACACTTCAACCCTCCCTGTGAGATAACAGATCATTCACATGGTACAACATAACGACTGATCCATAAGACAACATTCTATTGAGCTTTCCAAACATCTTGGACGTTACATGCTCAAAAGCAACTTTTAGTTATTGTAGGAGGAAGATTTGGAGCAACAAAGATCATTTTTCAGCTAGCTGATTGGCACAAGGAGCTCTCAGATTAATAATAGCAACCTCTAATTTTCAGGGCTATGACCAGTCCTCAGCCATAACATGTGACATTACTAGCAGTACATTCCGTTAAGAACTACACCATTCCTTTCAATGAATGGGGAGGATAACGATGGCAAACACGACATGTGCCTCTACTGCCTGCCAACAAGCATTTCAGCCAAAAGTAACACTCAATCCAATTCTTAAATATCATTCAACAAACATAATTGCAAGAAATACACATTACTCTTTAATTAGGTTCACTTTAAATGAAACAAAGCCACCAGATAAAGAGTACTAATGCACAGAAATTTTCTCCTTGGTGCTCAGACACAAACAGATGGCACCAGCTGTATTGAAGACTCGATATTAAGTAATATAACCTCTTCGTAGAAACAGATACACTGCAAAAAGTATATTTAAAATCTTCAGTGAATGCCAGGATGATTTGCACAAGGAATAACATTAAGCAAGCACATGTAATATATCTGATAGCCCAAAACAGAGTGAAGTGCCAACAACACGGCTAGAAAGGAAACCAATACAGAATCTTCTAACTTGTGCATAAGCAAGCTAGCTTGATTATAGCACATTAATGACCTCCTATCTACAATCAGCCATTTTATATATTTCAAGCCGGATAGCTGAATCCAATCCCAAGAAGCTATAGGCAGGGTCTAAGTTACATTCCCCAAATACCACGAGCTGTTGCCACCTTATTACTTGGTCGTGATGTCAATTCAAACAATATCCTGGCAAATGTATCAGAGTATCTCCCATCAGAGAAAAGCATCTCAGCAAATGCATTTTCATATACTAGCAGCAGAGGCTTGTTTTGTGGCTCTGAGACAAGGTTCTCCAAAATCATTGCAGCCTTTCGGCAAACTTCTGGCACCGGATGTGGTGCCTTGATCACTTTTAGTAGCCGATCAATTGCCCTGATATGATTTCACTGAATGTTAGAACAATATAAAACTTCCTTTTCTCAAAACAACTCTATTTTGTGTTGAAACCCGAAACTTAAAATATTAGACAAAGCATCTAACCATCTCTCACTTCCAAGCTTCAATCGGCAGTCCATATTGACTTCTGCAAGGTTATATAGCGCACCAACAGCAGCCCCTTGGGCATTAGTATCTGGCAGGCTCATGATATCAACTAGTCGCTTATGCACCTGCAGATTCAAAAAAAATGGTCCTTAACAAGTTGAGTAAAAATAACTGTAGACTAAATGGGGGATACAGTAAAAAGGTAAACCTGTGGAGCAAAAGGAAGAAGGAAAGGTTCATTATCAGGATTTATTATCAGACGTCCAAGTAATTCCGCAGCAGCACAATGCCAGGCTTTTACAGCAGATCCCAGCACTCCCATGATGGCCTGGACTGCTCGTTTTTCCCTAGTAGATCATTATACATAATTCGTAACATGTCAACAGGAAGTGGTATAGACAACACAGAAATGAAAATCTTACGTTATCTTAATGTAGGAAGGCTTTGAAGAGCTAAAAATCCGAAGATCCAGCAGATGAGCCAAATTCACAACCGTCTCCAAGGCATTTGTTACAAGCTCCTCATCCTCTGCCAAAACAACAAACATGAGACCAGGACAAGTATTTGGATATATCTTTCAGAAAACAACTGTGCTTATTTGACGAGAGAAAACATCATCAAGGTGAAGTTCCTGAAATGTAAGAGACAAACATTTAGCAACTCAATTTACTAATTTCTTTACCTGTCACATAATCTTCTATACATTGAAATAGTGTTTCCAAACAGTGACGATGCTGGGCCATTATGACCTCATTATCTGGCATGAATGAGAAGTTGCGTATAATATTTGAAGCACCAACAGCACACAGCTGCTTTTCAGCCCTCCCTTCCTCATCCATATTAAACAGGCCATCTTCTTCAAACCACCAATCAGCTGGGCGGGGATTACTAGTATTCTTCTGTACAGAAGCCTCTTTACTGCTGGAACCAGCCGCAGAGCTGTTGCGAAATAAATTGTACAAATCAGGTGTCCAGTCCATGTGATCATTATGAACATAAAACTTTCAATTTCAAGCATAAGATACTCATGCCAAACAACCTATGAGCAGCTTCATTTTTGCTCAAGGCCTCATATTCATTCCCAAATCCAGTAACAGCAGAATTTGCACCTAGCATTCTCACTCTTGGCGTTTTAACTAGCACCCTTGGCAAGGATATATCACGCCAGTCATCTATCTGCCCGAATTTAGATAATTCAGTGCAACAGAAATTACTCATATGCATAAGTTTTGCTGAATGACAAGAGACATACAACTTGTAATAAAGCATCGAGCAAACCAGGAATCTTGGCAAGAGGAGTTGCATCTTTACGAACTTCATCTTTTTCTTTGAAAGACAGCAATGTGAGAGTGTTCAATGCCCATGTCAACTCACTCTTCAATCCACTCTGAAGAGCGAGAACTATCCTTTTGTTATTCTGCTCTGGTGAAAACAATTGAAATAATGTGAATGAAAATCCATCAAATCCATAAGGGCTCAAATCTGAAGCATCCAAAATCCATTTTATTAGGCATAATGCAAGCCTATACAAATTTTCATTTCTATATTCCACATTCAATCATGAAAAGTATCCTCTCTTTTGCACCTGTTATCTGTGAACCGACTAAAGTGACTTGCACAGTTCCCAAACACTATGATAAATTAGCATTTCATCACATCACCTATGACCAAATAAGATATTAAAGAGCCCAATAAGCCTAACACAATAAAATACAAGCTTAGTTTGATATTAATAACGGGCTTAAAATTGTTTTCGAGCTTGGCTAGATTATTGTTCGACCAAGCTCAAACTAGCTTTGAACTCTAGTAACTTGGTTTATTAATTCGTAAATTTTAGCTGATATTCCCATTTTTTGAGATCAAATCAAGCTTAAAGAGCTGATATTCCCATATTCAATCTTCTTCAAACTAAGCAATCTCGAAAAAGCTCTTTTCCAGGCAAGCTAGCTGAGTTCATCTTTTTCTCCTAATGACCTTACTAACAGTCCTTCACTGATTGCAAACTTTTGTAGATATTCGTAAACCTAACTTTTTTCAGCGAATTCCAGAAAAGTTAAAACCCTGAAGGTACTTAAACCCCTCTGCGAAAGAATTGACGAATCACAACAATTTAAGGAAATTTTCACCATAATCTCGGACAGAATGAAATAAAGATCAAAACTTTATTAATCTATCCGTGTGTAGACTGACCGGCAAAGGCGGAATGTACTTGTAGAGAAGGACCGAGGAGAGTAGAGGGAGCTGCAGAATCAGCTGAGCCAGCTGCGCCAGCAGCTGTGGCAGCATTGCCGCTTCCGCTCCCGAAAGGACGGCCTCTCTTCGCCGCCGGCGTGGCGGAGCCTCCTGCTCCTCCACCTGCTTTGCTTTGGTCTCTCTTCTGCATAGCTGCGATTCGGTGACGGTCAGGACTGGGCCTTAAAGTTGAGAAAAAGAAGGGGGAGAAAATATCATTCGATGTCGGCTGACGGACGGATAATGGCGCAAATATGAGCCCAATTAAAAATTTTAGGCAAAAAAAGTGGGCCGCAGAAAAACTGGACTTGGGATGGATTTCCATGTGAATTAATTCACTTCTAAATTATTTTCACTCTGAACAGAGAGTTGATGATTGCCTTGAAAAACCCACCCATTCTACATCTATTCAAATTATTCCTACAAAAATAACAAAATAACATGTTCCCAATGCAGAATATTTTGTTATCCATCATACACTGTATAGTTCAATTATACGTTCATACTCCAATTTCATCCATAAATGAAGGCTGAGTAATGAAATTTGTTTGGACAAATTAGTCTTTTGTGGTGGGATTCGAGTTGTGAACTTGATTTGATCCTAAGACTGTTTAAACTTGGCGTAGAACAAAATTTGTTATGCACTCTTGAACTACCGACGGGTAGAGTCGAGCTCTACTCGAATAAAAATACTCGAACTCAAGCTTTGTCGAATTTCTCGAAAATTGAGGTCAAGTTTATACTACCTTTCTCAAGTTTGATCAAATTGAGTTCAATCGAATTTAGTCAAATTTAACCGAATTCAATTGAGTTTTCAAGTTCAATTTTTGGTAAATTCTATAACCATCTTATCTGTTAATGTAACTTCACAATAAACAATTATAAATTATATTATAAATGTA